CAATGAACCATTTGAAGTATTCAATTTGGGGATTATTCAACGTTCAATTCCTCATACGTTTACGTATGCCTAGAAAGCCCGCGGTTAATCTGGTTCGATTCCAGCCGATGATGGCCCGTTTAATATCTAGACTTTTATTTATTATTTATGTATATAAATATCTCCACATAGATATGTCTATGTGTAGATATTCGATTCGATTGATCTGTTTTTTACGGCTTATCAATCTTTTGTGGCTAATTTAAAGCCAGAAAATATTTTGTTTTAGATTGTAAGACTTTTTTGGAGATAATACTGATTTAAGGATACAAATCCTATGAATTAATCCATAGCTGTTATTTATTACTTTTCCCAAGGATATTTTGCGCGTAAGTGAATATACCAAACCCCACTGGAATTAGAACTCGGCTCTCCGATTAACAATTCTGAGCCATTATCCATGACATCACCTGCACATCTAAGTTTTCACTACCTGGTATTCCCAAACTGTCAACCATTTAGGTACATCATTGCTTAACTTCGGTGACCGTATGGGAACAGGTGTTTCAACGTGATAGGACCGTAAGCATATACTTTTAAATTTAACTATCCGGAAACCAAGTTCATGGCCGTTGGAACAGCACAGATAAATTGCGAGGGACAGGCTCGTTTCACCTTTCCCTGCCCTTTACAGTGATTCGCCGAATGCTCAGATTTGTTCACCTTCTCATGTTGCCTATCAACTTCTTTCGTTATCTGCCTCTTTTCCCGTAAGATCGTCTTTCTATATTCGCCTGGCCGGTGGAGTAATGGATAGCGGCTCAGATTGAGTTTTGAAGATATTTTAAGCCGAATTTAAAAAAAAAAAAATTAAATTCCCAATGTTTTTGTGTTTAATCGCAATATAAATTAAAAACTTTTAAAATCACTAAATTTTTTAGTGATTTTAAAATTTGTATTTTTTACAGTTCCCTCCTCACCCGGACACAAATCGCAATTCTGGATGTTCAAGCACAAGATCAGGGGCCGATTTTCAATCCAGGGATCATATTGCTTCAAAAAATGGTATAATATGTCTATGTAGAGCAAGTGTGGCCATCGTTAGAAGGGATTCACGCACAAGGCTGGAGAAAAAGAATTTGTCGTTTATTTATTTAGAATAAGGATTCCAATTTGATTAGACGCATTCTTCGAGGAAATTTTCGATATCTTGAAATTGTTGGAACTGCTGGCTAGATATAAGATGTTGCCTGGAACTAAACAGCAGCCTGGAAATGGTAATTCTGAAGAATATACCAGTCCGTTAGTTACCTTGCATTTGCGACAGGGGGCGAATACAAGTTGTCTGCATTGTTCGCAAAAGAGCATTTCCTTTTCTAATGTGTCATTCAAACAAAAATTATGCAGTAACAATTTGTAGTTTACGGCAGTTTGTTTTAAAAAGAATTTTCTTTTGGATCAATAAATACAGAAAACTTAAAACTTCAATTGTGATGTCGAAGACTGTCCTGGATCTACCATGTAATGTTCAAACGAACTAAATCCCTTAGATCCACGCGTTCAGACCTTTACAGTTAGGATCCGTCACGCCTCATTTCCATTCGTATTCCATTGGTAAGGAGGAAGTTCCTTCATCCTTATCAGCATTTTCCTCCGACAACCATTACTTTGTGGAACAAACTCAACGAGATCACTAAAATTTTTCCTACGTATTTTCATAATCTACAGCAAGCTCATTAAGTAACGCTCTACATTGAGTGGTTCTTGGACCTTGTATTGGGTGAAAATTTAGTAATAGAAAATCCATTTTTAACACCGGTTCTTATATTGTTAAAAAATTACTTTTGTTTCTGTGTCCAGCAGAAAGAGAAATGATTGGTTTGGTTTGTTTTAAGGCATATCAACCTCAATGGGTTATTTGATGCCTACAAGATTTTTATTACTGGTAATATTTTTTTTTCTCCAAAATGTATTACTAGTAATACTTTTTCCCAAAATTGTACTGCTGGTAATCTTTTTTTTTCAAAAAAGTATTCCTAGTATATTTTTTTTTTTACAAAAATGTATTGTTGGTAATATTTTTCCAAAAATGTATTGCTGGTAATTTTTTTTCTTTTTCAAAAATCTACTTACTGCTGGTAATAATTTTTCCAAAAAAGTGTTTCTGGAATTATTTTTTTATTTTCATAGTGTTTTGACCCCTTGGGGGAGGGGTTAACTATTTGCCCATAGCCTGGACCCTGACAGGTGCTAACACTCCGGGTCAGGTTGGAACACCTGCAATTAAGAGGTGGTTCAACGCTCATCAAAGCCTCATGATCAAAGGTCTTACTGTTGGATGTAGTTTATTGTCTTACCCAGAACGCGAAAGAAAAAGAAAGGTCTCGAAGTGCTGACAAACGTTCTGTTTTATTAGTTATGTGGAACCCTTTTACCAGCTTTTGAATTTTACCCGCGGGTAGTTACCACAGTTAGTTACCACGGTTTGACTGCCAGAGGTCAGTTAGGAAATCTGATTTCAAACGCCAGTTGTATAATAGCCAACTTAGGCATTAATTTGTTTTTCAAATGCTTCGTTTATGTGTTATATTTTCAATAAATTTTTCCCGTAATAACATTGATTTTAATCACCTGTATGATTTTTTCATTCCTGATCCAGACGCCAAATAACAGTTATTTAAAAAAAAAACTGATGGTTTTAGCTTTGATGGCAAACCCCGACCCCCAAAATAACTCCTGTTGGGCGCCATAACATAATCTGCTAAACGTGAGTTACCCCGCTAATGTGTTAACTGCTTACTACTCTTAACTGCTTTGTTGTCCATGATAATGGTAGTTTTAATCGAGAGAAAAAAGTTTCACAGATCTAGATCCACCCTCTCAATATCCACTTCAGGATTCAACGGCAACGTGGGGGTCCAAGACGGTTGATGGAGAATCAGCTAAACTGAAAGGTTTGACCAAACTAAGACTCAAGTTTGAATTCAATTCTCCTTCTCTTAGGTCGGTTGCCACCCAAGCACCGTCTACTGGTGGTTTAATCCATAGCTGGGTAGGTGATAAGTAAGAATGGTAATGGTAATATTAGCCGTTTCCTTATAAGGAAACATCAGACAGTCATTGACCTAGCAATTTATGCTACTGTCAGTTGAAACTTATGAAACCTTTATCTTAAAACAATTCTTCAGATAAATACGTTCCTCAAGTTCAGTGGCAGTTATCGCGCTTTCTAATATTTATAGGCGTTTCCTTTCTAACCTTTTTTTGAAGTGGTGTGGAATGTCAACATTTTGATTATGTCATAATTTTTTTTGTGTGTGTGTTGCATTTGTGTGTTTAGTTGTTACTGCTGTTGAAAGTCCTCAAGTGATGTGGTTTCTGTTATTTGGTACTGTTCTTTGTTTGTGATTCTGTAGCGCAACGCCACAAGTTTCGAAGGTCTACAGGTTTCACTCGCTCAAAGCCTTGTTTTAACCATCGATCTTAGAAATTGGTTGCATACAGCAGACAGTTTAGATATTTCTGAACGGATTTGGCGCATGACTGTCATCCATTTGAAAGTTTCGACTTGACAAGGCTATTTAAGAACACAGCTGAAGTTTTCAGGTTGTTGTTTTATAGCAATTTACGATGTTGAGCTAAACTACCTCAAGCGAGACTATTCTATATTCAACTTCTTTATTTCTTATACTATTCATGTCTTTCTTAAGCTATACCTGAATAAACTCTGATTACGCATTAGATTTCCCTAAAATGATACAAAAGATACTGCCGGGAACTTCTGCATCAACCTAGCGTTATTATTTTATTACTGTCGTCTGCTGTCTTTCATTCAAACAAGTCTCATATTCTGCCCTCAAACTTTGCTCACAGAGTAACGAACAAAAAACAAAACTGATAATAAAACTTGGAGAATGCTTGAAAAAAAATAAAATAAAATAAAATCCCAATCAGCAATCAGATATTTCCCATCCTGCCATTAAGATTTGCTCAATTAAAGACTTCCGGTCTCAATAAAAAGGCGTTATAAAGAGAAAACAGAGGGGATGTAAACATGAGCATGCGCACAAGCAACCTCTGCGTTTTCAATACATGGAAGAAGAATAGTTAACAGCTGCTTTTCTTATTGATAAATTCTTAGCTTAATTTATTAGTCAAATGATTTATTCCCTGTTCCATGCTTTCATCCGTTCGTTCATTCGTTCATTCTTGTATTCTTTTGGTTTGTTATCAAACTAATTTCCTCAGTATCAGGTAAAGTAAAAATAAAACAAATAAACCGACGAATACATTTTTCTTCTACGCACAGGCCTGCTTGAGTATTCGATTTTTCAATTTAAGCTTGTTAAGAATAATTGACATTTTTCTTCTTTTTTTTCCATTTCTTTCTTCGATTTTCTGATGTTTTTCGCAGACAATCATTTAATTTTTTTTAGACAGTTTCTTTACCATATTTATTGTTAATCTCTTCTTCACCTCCTACTGCAGCTGCTATGACTCCATATTAATAACCATTATAATATGCTTTTCACGCCAGGTGAATCCGGTAATTTGTATAACGACGATGACAACTACTATTACTAAAATTTATTATTATTGTTATTTTTGTAGTAGTAGTAGTTGTTGTTGTAACAACAACAATAAATGTCACTTCGCCGACGACAAGTCCTAATTTTAAATCTAAATTGTTTGTCCATTTAAACTACTACACTTGTTAAACATATTTAGTTTAAATAGAGTCGAACAATTCCTGTTATTAGGGATTGTTACCAGACATAGATGTTTGTCTCTCTTGTTTTCTACCTAGGATTAACTTTCCGCTTCCTTCTAAAGTCTACTTCAGCTCTATGCTTCTATCGTCTACACCTGAACTCTGACATTTTATTTATTAATTATTTTTTCTCTTCTTTGCTTATCAACCGGTTCACACTCCTTCTTGATCTTTTCGAATGTACTTATCCACTGTTTTATTTGAAACTCAGTCAAATTGTGCATGTGTGTGTGTGTCCATATGTTTAGATACACATGTAACTCACTCACGGGCAACACACACACACACACACACATATATATATATATATATATATATATATACATTACATATTTGATTTGTTTGTTCAATGGCAAATCAACTCATTATGGGTCATTTAACGCTAAAATTTAGTTTTCTTGGGAGCTTTGAAGTAATAAAAATATGATATATGCTATTCTGCTTGGTAGATGATACTCAGCTTTTGTGTATATATGTTTGTGCGAATATAATTACTGGAGACGGTAATATGTGTGATTTATGTTGTATTTTTTAAAGTTATATTTTGGAATAAAATTTGACTTAAGAAATTGTAGGATATTATAGAGATTAATGTCATGAAAGTTCTTTGATGTTGGTTGGTTGATTTGTTTAGCGGCACATGAACCTCTGTAGGTCATTTAATGACGAACTCTAAATACTTGGAACACAATTGTATGGTTTCAACTAAATATATTTTGAACGCAATTGTATGCCTTCAATTACAGATAAAATATATTGTTGTTAATTCACTATAAAATGTATTACTGGTCGTATTGATTTAAAATTGTATTGTTGGTAATTTTACTATAAATATGTATTGTTAATTTTTTTTTTTATTTAAATATGTAATTTTATTATATAAAAATGTATTTTTATAATTTCATCGTGTCTTGTTTTGTTTGGGAGGGTTCACTATTTATCTATAGCTGGGACCCTAACAGGTGCTACCACCTCGAGTCAGGGTGGACCTGGGAACAACAACAATTAAATGTTACTACTCCCCTCAAAACCTCCAATCACCTGATCTGAGACCTTACTGCCGGTTGCATTACATACGTGTATGATAAATCAAACACAGACAGCGTATGACGGATAGAGAAATGGCTCAGCTTTTATAATACTAGAATCCTTACAATATTTACTATTCTTGAAGTTATTGTTAATATTTTTGTCGATATTTATAAACTCTACGTTTTGTTTAATTTCACAAACCAATTGAGGAAATTTGAATCAACTGATTTGTTTGGAAAAATACTTTAACAAAAATCCTACTTTATAATTTAATAATTTCTTTAATCTTATAGGACTTCATGGTAAACAATATTTTTTAAGAAAATTTCTTTTTTTTCCTTTTTAACAGTGAAGAATAAATTCTTAGGATTTCTTACTCTTGAGCATGCAACATACAACCAGCTGTGTGTAAATATTTCTTTCTGGAGCCAAATGCCAACTTTTTGAAGTGCTTGGTCATGTGATTTGTTTATAGTTCTTGTAAACACATTGAAACTGGATTCTTTTATATAAAACATAAAAGATATGCTAAAAACAATATTACATTTTTATTAAATAAGTATTTGTTACTTTAATCATTAAATTCTATATTACTAGAATTTTTTTTCAAAAGGTTTTCGTATTTTTGTATAAACAAAACAGATGAGATGCTTTTTGCAGGTTATTTAAAGCCAGAAAATATTTTAGATTGTAAAAATTTTTTGTGGGGTAGATAATAAGGATTTACAGATACAAGACTTACTAATTAACCCATAGCTGGGGGTGGGTAGAAGTGGATTCATACTTTTCCGATAGTTATTGATGCATAAGGGAATATAACGAACCCAACTGGAATTGGAACTCGGCTCTCTGATTAACAATTCGTTGCCATTATCCATTACACCAGTAGCATATCCAAGCTTACAGCATCTGGTATTCCCAAGCGGTCACCCATCTAAGTACTGACCAGGCTCGACGTTGTTTAACTTCGGTGATCTTTAAAATTGGAACTCGTCTCTCCAATTAATAATTCCTTGCTTTTATCCATTATACAACTCGCACATTCAAGCTTGCTGTACCTGGTATTCCAAAGCTGTCACCCATCTAAGTACTGACCAGGCGCGATGTTGCTTAACTTCGGTGATCTCTTCAAATTGGAACTCGGCTCTCCGATTAATAATTCGTTGCTATTATCCATTACACCACTCGCACATCCAAGCTTACAGCACCTGGTATTCCCAAGCGGTCACCCATCTAAGTACTGACCAGGCTTGACGTTGCTTAATAATAATAATTGAAATTATTACACCTTCTTCTTCTTCTTCTTCTACTACTACTACTAGTACTACTACTAGTAGTAGTAGTAGTAGTAGTAGTAGTTCTTCTTCTTCTTCTTCTTCTTCTTCTTCTTCTTCTATTCTTCTATATGCCTATCCTCTCAGGACGTTGGCGTTGACTATCTTTACTGGTCCTTTTACTCCCTCCCTCCGTCTCTCTCTCTCTCTCTCTCTCTCTCTCTCATTCATCGGAGCATTATGACCATCATCTTCGCCATTTTAATTTCATCTCTTTCCCCTCTCCCCTTTATTTCAAAATTCCTCTTACCGCCACTTTCTTTTCCTCCTACTCTTCTCCCCCTTTTTCTTTCAATCCCATTCCTACTTTCCACACCGCCCGACCGCATAGATTTCATTACAACTTCTACTCCAAACACCCTGCCTACCTACCTCCCTACCTAACTACCTCCCCGCGTTTCCTTAGCAACCGATCTCGACATGCATGATCCAATGTATTGAGACGTGTGTCGCTGCCTGCATGCCCGGAATTCTTCTGATCTACGCGAACATTTCCTTCTGTCAGTTCTATAAAGCTGCACACGTCGAAAAAAAAAACAACAACAAAAAACAAAAGACAAGTCTTGGAGAAAGTGTAGCCAAATCTGATGCAAACGGACCCCACACTCTTGCTCTTCCTGCACCCAACATACCTCTCTATATAAATTCCACACAACCACTCATTCTGTCTCTATCTCTCCCTTTTCTTCACAGACATTCAAAGAGAGAGAGAAGCAATAACATTTTAATAGGGGCGAGTGTTTCTACTGCAAAAATAGCCTAGTTGACAAGAACATCGTGCATTTAGGGAGGAACAGCTTCATATCTTATTGTAGTCGGCAGGATTTTTAACAACACAACCACGCTATTTACTGATCTATTCTTACATACTTCTGTTATATCACAATCTATATCCAACATGTTTCAGTTATTCATGTTTCATCTCTTTTAAATTTATATATATATATATATATATATATATGTCCTATGAAAATATCTATCTATTTATCTATATCTATATATCTATCTATACTATATATATATATATATATTTATATATATACATACTATATATATATCTATATATATATATATATATATATATATATATATATATATATATATATGTTTTCTGATCGATCGATCTTATTCATATTCATCTATCTATCTATCTATCTATCTATCTATCTATCTGAGTGTTTGTCTGTTTTTTACCCATATCTACTAATACTATCGATATCTGATACTGTCCATATCTATCTATCTATCTATCTGAACACACACACACACACACACACACACACACACACATATATATATATATATATGAATAAAGAAATACACTCTTAAGATGTGCTATATTTATGGGATAAAGTGCTCGATATCAGAGATAGGGCGTGTGTAAATATAAAAGTGAACATTGAAGTCAACACTTAGAGGCGACAGGCTGTTTCATGCTAGACCACAATGTCAGGCTTGACCACAATGTTCACTTTTATATATATTTATATGTATATCAATTAAGTGGTGCAGTTTAATTTATGTTACAATGAGTCATTCATACAAAAAGTAAAATAGTACAGTTAATGAGTTAATACCTGAATTTTACCAAAATCGAAATACTTTCCATGCCTGATGATGACCGGAGAACCTGTCGAAAGTACTTGCATATTTAAGGAAGACCTAATACTGTTTATAATTTTAAAAAAAAACTAGGATCATAACATTCTTCGAGTGGTTAGTGGGTTAATACTTTTTTAAAATTTAGTTAGCGAAGTGAATTATATTTTATTAACTTTACTAATTTTCTTTTTATGTATGAATGATTCGTTGGAATACACACACACACACACATATATATATATATATATATATATATATATATATATATATATATTTTTTCAGTTCTATGGATATTAGTTTGTGAATAAACATATTCAGTTGTATAGCCATGAGCTTGAACATGTAGTTCTAACACTGATATTGAGCACTTTCCACTAAGTACTGCGCATATAATATATATATATATATATATATATATATATATATATATATAGAGAGAGAGAGAGAGAGAGAGAGAGAGATTTAATTATATATATATATATATATATATATATATATATATATATATATATATATAGATAGATAGATAGATAGATATAGATATATATATATATATATATATATTTGATTTGGGCCTTTATAAGCCATTATCAAACAGTTTTTTTTAAATTTTATTGTGCTCTGTCGGTTTCATTGTTTTTTTCAAAAAATATTGCTTCTTCACACGTCATATCAATTTTTTTTGTTTTCTGTTACCCGCCATCTTTACCGATACTGCAGATTCTCTTTAGTCTGCTTTGAACTAAAAGTTAAAATTGGCAAGGAAAAACACATGCTGTGCATCGAAAATCAGCAAGAAAAGAATTAAGAGTAGTCAGGTGTTAATACAAGCGTTACTGACAGAACAGGACCATTATAAGTATAAATAGCTACGCATAAGATATATATGTATACATATATATCCTCATCCATTTGCATTTCGATTTCTCTGCCACTTTAGCCTAATTACATCATTAACCTTCCTTCCATCATTGCAAGCTTCCTTGCACCCTTTCTTCTTCCTCACTTTCTTTCCTCCTTTCTTCCCTTCCATTTCTTCCTTTTTTTCTTCTTCCTTCTCTTTTCCTTACTTTCTTTTCATTTTTCACTTTTCTTTTTTTTCTCTTCTTCTCTTATCATCTTCCTTCTTGTTTTTCCCTTCCTACCATCCTTTCTTTTTCCCTTCCTTTCTTTCTTACTTTTTCTCTTTCTTGTTTCTTTTGTTTCATTATCTTTCTTCCTTTCTTCTCTTTTTCCATTCCTTCCTAACTTTCCGTTCCCACCATCCTTTCTTATTTCCTTCCCTTCTCTCCTATTTCTTTTCTTTCTTTTCTTTCTTTCTTTCTTTCTTTCTTTCTTTCTTTCTTTCTTTGCCTTTTCATCATCCCTTCCTACTTTCTTTTCATTCTCTCTTCCTTTTTCCATTTCTCCCTACTTTGTTAAATCCTTTTTTCCATTTGATTATTCCTTCATTTCAAATCGATATTTGTTAATAAAAGTTACTATAACTACACTCATTTCTCCAACTATCATTCACTAATTAAAAATGTCAGGCATAGATGACAATTACATCTGTGTATATTCCTGTGATAATGTATTGTAACTATTTACACTATTTACATCGTTCTAACTGTTGTTCTCATCTTTATTGCCATATTCACGACGTTTCGGCCGTTAAATGCTCTGGCCTTCTTCAGGTGATATATGTTGGAATTTCGAACCACGTGCCATGCCTTTGGATATCTCAGTTTTGATATTTCATTTTAGATATCTCAGTTATTAACTCAGCTCTCTGAGTGTCTTTCTGCTGTAACCAAGCCTTTAACTCACAACTCTTTGAAGTAAGTCAATTTTTGAATCACTCGACCAACGCTTTTATCCAATAGGCTATGTATCTTTAGAAACATTAGTGAGCGAATTACAAGGAAGGCCGGAGTGTACAACGGCCGAAATGTCCTGAATATGGCAATAAGGTTAGGGACAACGGTCCGAACGATGCAAATAGTGTAAATAGTTACAATACCTCATCTCAGAAATACAGACAGATCCTGAAGAAGGCCGGAACATACAACGGCCGAAACGTCGTGAATATGACAATAAAGATAAGAACAATAGCCCGAATGATGTAAATGTTGTAAATAAATATCCTATTTGTTTGCATTTATATTAAAAATTCGTCGTTTCTCACATGTTCGGTCCAATGTATTCTCGGCATCCTTCTGTAGAATCACATTTCTGTTGTTTTAAGTAAGAAACGTCGGTAATTTACGTAGATGTCGTAGAGAACCAGTAATTGTACTTAGCCTAGTTCCATAATTTTCTTAAAATTCTCGATCCCTTTAGCACGTAGATGATCATGGCTCTCCACTGATTTTTTTTTCTTTTATTATCTTTGAATTGTGACTTCTTAAGAATATAGCGGGGTGGATTCTAACTGTTTTACCCACAAGTTTTAAATCCAGAGACTTCTTTCTCGTAGACTGGCTGTCAATCAAAGCTATAGAGCTTAGTCTTCCCAGCTAGAGAAGAAATTGATTTATACTTTACCGAAGGACATTAGTTTGAAATTGAATGCAACAAACTTGCCCGAAATTTGAACTCAGCTCCCCGATTCCACTTTTCAAGGCAATAACCGTTACACCCAACTCCATAATATTGTAATAATAAAGGGTAAAAATTCCTGGGGTGATGCACTGCATCATACCCACTTAGTCTCCGTTTGGTTTTATATGATGGTATTTAAAGTTTCTATAACCTAATCGCTACAAGATTGTTATACGCTAATTTACTTGGAATAGCGTTCTCATGTTGGTTGTTATTGCTGCTACGTTTCGGCCTTCTTAAGGTGTTAATTATAGTTTTTAATCATCTGGGAATTTCAAGCGAAACCCTTTATTAAATCCAAGGACAAAGATTATTTTCATTCTGTTGTCCATGCCAAGGAGACAACACCTGTATCAGTTAATTCTTTTCCAATGAGCCAGCGTATATGACTTTTTTTTTTTTAACTTAACTCAAGGATTGAATTCACGTCTTCCAGGTAACTCGGTTTACTTAAACATCTCTAGAATAGTACGATAGCGGGAGCTTAGAGTCTGAAACCTGATGTCACTTTTTTGCCTCCTTAAATGAACTAAAGCAAGGGTCGGCAACCTCCGGCCCGCGAAGGCATTTTGACCGGCCCGCGAGCCTGATTACCAATGACTCTATTTTTAACATGAGAGACGAGGCTTTCGGATTAGACTATCTGCCAGTTATCTTTCATGAGACTTATTTTACCAAGTTGCGTTGCCTACGTTTAAATGTCAAATAATGGATGCATATTTGTTATGACCCTTGGCTACATTAAAAGATAACAAAAGCGAAAGGAACGATAAAGCGAAAGAGGCCAGGGAGGGACTTACATGCGAGTTAGCAGAAATCTAAAGACAGTTAAACATACGTGCATTATACATACATGCCTCATGAATGTGTGGATGATACTGCATGTGTACATACGTAAGTGTATATGTTTGCAACTATTTGTACTCGTATGTATGGTTATATGTGCTTCGTTTTTGTTTGATGTGTGTGTGTGTGGTTCGTTTGTGGAACAATTTTCAAGAACAGTTTCAAACCTACGCGTCATAATTTCATCCATTTCACTTCAGTTGATTTTTTTCACTTTGAAGTATTTTGACGTTCCTTGAGGAAAAGTGATTTTTTAAAAGTGTTTTTTAATTTCAGATTTTCTTTTGTTTTTCTGATTTCTCAATGTTTATTTTCATTATGGTTTTAAATATTTAGGTTGATAGGGGTCTGCA